TGTCCACAGACGTACCTGGGGAATCTCTCCACCTATATACACTTCTACCTCTGCAAGGGGTTTCTAATTGCTGTTCACCTTGCCAAATGTAAGCACATATGCATGATCCACACTCTGTCTGTGAACGCTCTTGTTCCATAAATTCCTATGGATCGTTTGGACTATCCCGAGGTAGGCAACCTTGGCTCTTTTACGATTCGTGAACTTCAACTCCATGGCTGGCTCAGGAATTCTGGGAGTTGAAGTCCACGAGTCATAAAAGAGCCAAGGTTGCCTACCCCTGGACTATCCCATCGTCTTTGGAAATCAAAAGGATGATAATAAGTCTTCTCCGACACATCAAGAAGACACCATATTTAGGAAGCCTGCCTATTGATGTCTGTCAACTTAATTTTGGGCAGTATCCTATGGTAGTGCTGACAAAATCTAGAAGAAATAATTCAGCTTGGAAAATCAGTTCAGTTCTTTATAATCAAATTAAGTCATTCAGTTCACATTTCAGAATCAGTTAAAAAGGTATACGCAACAGCATCTCAGTGCATTTGAGGCAACAATTTGGACTGACTTTCAGATTCAGTTCAAAATTCATAGTGATCAAGTCAGCTTTGAATTAAATCTCCAAAGTAAATACTTGCAAAACTCTAATGAGCATTTAAGAATAAATTTGCAAGACTGTTAATACTTCATCCGGTTGTTTGTGAAAGTTATTGCAGAACTTCAGACATTAGCATAAGACAAGGGGGAAACTGTTCAACATCTATGGAATGATCCAAGCCACTGTTTTTAAGTAATGTAATTTAATTATAATAAACATTTAAATTAAATCGCATTTTTTATTTGGTCCTACCTTCCTTTTGGAATGCAGTCTCAAATGTAAAGTGTCACCTTTGCCTTGAAAAGAACTGAAAACCAATGTTGTAGATCAGGGGACTGATGTAGAAGCCCGAACCGATTGGCAGAAGTGAATTCTGCTCAATGTTAGTTTTATTGCTTTATAAAAAGCAGTAAATTCTATGGTTCTGGTTACTGTGAGGTGCAAAGGCATGCACAGATGCACATATGTAAACTGAAAATAATCAGGAGTTGCCTTCAGAATAAAAGCAATACAGTTTTATTGCGTGCCTGGGGTATACTTACTTACATTTGATTTCTAGTTTTCAATTGACCTCAAGAAGGCCAGTGTCAGGCACAGGAAATCAGGATCCAGGCAGTTCAAATGAATATACAGGTGTATTGTACGCTAAAGCTCTCTACAAGAATCTGAACTACTAACAATCAGAGCAAATTGGCAGTAGATGAGAATTCAAGGTGGATGGCACTTAGATCTCTTGTGGGCCCGAAAGGACTTGAGACTGATGACGCGTTTGAACCCTCCTACATCAGGGTCTGCTTGATCATATCCTACATTTGGACAAGGATACTCAAAGGGCTGGATGTGGCCCTAGAGCCGTAAAATGTCCAGATTTGCTCTTTATCATTGGTTATGTTCAAATGGAGGATTTGATAGCCAGATAGGTTTCGGGGATATTTTGATTTAAGTTCACACATTGAGCAAGGGTTGCCTTGATGGTGTAAATGGTCTTTTCAGACCCTATGATTTTATGGATCCCACTTTGCCTATTCTTCCTGCATCTGTGCTTCCTAATTGCCATCACACTAACTGGAAAAATTACATTGAAGCAGAACAGAACAAAGTTTATTACAGTGAGTGATCAGGGCAAGAAAGTTGAAGGAGAGAGAAATCACCAAAATATTGATGTACATACGAATGAATGGATCGATCGATAGATTTAAGATAGTACAAAACTATAGACATAAAATCTTATAAAACCTATTGAGCTGATCTAGTTAATCAGATGTATAAAACTTGTTCTCTATAAAACCTGCCTAGTTTATTTTCTCTTTTACCATTTTTAGTTGAGCGCACATAGAAGTAAGTCAGGAAAAAAAATGAAATGAAAGAAGTAAATTTATAACATGCAATATTTGAAAGCATGGGAATATCTTGATCTGAAACATAAGAGCAGCCTTTTCCAGCTTGGTTCCTTCCTTTATATTTTGAACTTTAATTTCCTAACCAACATCACCATCTTCAGGGAATGAGAGAACTGTAATCCCAAATTAATAAATCTGAAAAAATAATTGGCAAATTTCTATCCAGATCTTCCGGAAAAGACTATTGTTTGAAAAGACTTTAGTGGGGCCCAGGCATTGATGCGAGAACTTTTACAGTTCTTGGAAGTAGCCCAAAGTAACCAAACAAATGAATATTTCCATTCAGAAATGTGTAAGACCTTACTTGTGGGATTGTTGCTTCAACCCAGGAAAGGAAAGGGAGTTGTTGTATCTTGCAGAGCAGGCAAGTTAAGAGGTTAGTGGAGTTCTGCTGTGTTGTGTAAAGATAAACCATGCCTTGCCCAGCCTGGCATCTTTCAGATGATGTGAGCCTCTAAAGTTCTCCAAAGCCCACTTTGGCATGGCCTCAAACTAAAAAAATTACTCTTCCTATACATCTAGAGAGTACCAGGTTGGGGAGAACCACACTGCAACGAGTGACACATAAAAGCTCCTTGCACCTGGTCAAGAGAACGTTTGAGTTTGTGCTTTTGTTTTGTTTTTTGTATAGTCAGGGCCGGTTCAGACAGTGCTACCTGAGCTGCAATCATTGGTAGGAGAGAAAAATCTCTTCCTTCGGCTAGCCTAGTTTCTCTATCCCCGTAAAACATACAGTGTTTTCAGGAAACACTTGTTTCAGGAAACACTTGGAGTTCTGCAGGCGGCTCTAAAAAAAAAAGTCCTGCTGTGGTCTTGCAAGTTTTCAGCACTTGTCACACTACTTGCAACTCTTCCACAATGCATTGTGGAACTTGCTACACTGAGTACATTCTGGCCATAAAGAATAAGACAGTGAGCTTGTCAGCTGGAAAGCTGACAATCCAGGTTCGAGACCCGAGCACTGCATGACAGAGTGAGCTCCCGTTCCTTGCTCCAGCTTCTGCCCACCTAGCAGATCGAAAGCATGCAAATGCAAGTAGATAAATAGGTACCACTTCAGTGGGAAGGTAACATTATGTGCCTTGGTGTATAGTCATGCTGGCCACATGACCATGACATGGAAATGTCTCTGGACAATGCTGGCTCCCTCGGCTAAGAAGCAGAGATGAGCCCCGCCCCCTAGAATCAGAAATGACTGGTCTGAGGAAAAATTTACTTTTACATAGAGAATAGTGTCAAAATGCTACTCCTGGCTGAAATCTGGAAGGGGACTGAGCCTTGTCTGGTACCATTTTTGACATGTTCTGGTTCTGCTTTTTTTGATTGAAGCAAAACCTGATAGCAGCCCTATTCAAAAAAAAAAACAACCAAAACCCAACAACCCACATCTTTGGGTATTAACTTTTGTCTTAAATCCACAGTTAGTTTTTCAAATCTGCTAATTAAAGTCATTGCACAATGCAGAGACCCTAAAACAAGATGGATCGACCACATCAAGTATTGCGGGCCCACTTGGCAAAAGAAAGATCAGGACCGTATATAGGCTGGAAACATGCAGAAGAGGCCTTCATCCTGCAGTGGATAGACAATGGCTAAAATGATGATGGTGACACAGTGCATCATAAAAATAATGAAGTCTCCCCAAAGCCCAGCCATTAGATTGCACAGAGATCTTGTGTTTCACTAACCCGTTGCATACAAATGTGATTTGCATTTCAGAAAGACTTCAATTCTTTCTCGACTGCTGACATTAACCTTATGTATTTTTAACATGTTTCTAGTGCTTATGTTTAAAAACAGGCAAACCATATTTCATCAGAATAACTAGGGCCTTTATTAAATACACTTGAATTTCCAGTGTCTGTTATTACCTGGCACTCCTTCTGTTCCTTTATTGGCAGCTTAATAGCTGATTAGTAGAATACACGTATATTTCTGGAACGTTGGCTACTAAATGTTTGCAGAATAGGTCACAGATCAGATAATCCATACAGTATAGAAAATGCTATGCCATTTCTTATTATGCCTGGGAATAGGTCAGCCTTGAAAGCGTGGAGACCACATACTCATATTGGCCAGGGAGCTCAACCTTTGGCCTCCAAGCTCCCTTGAGTCTCCTGTAGTTGACCAACCAAATATTGGGTTGTCCATCATTTTGACCTAAAAGGCATCTGAAAATTGGTGTGTTGGCCCAGCATGGTCATAGCAGAAGATCCTGGATCCAACCACATGAAGGAGATTGTCCATTAATTTGGCATCATCACCCCCACGGTAACCCTTGGCCTCCTGAAGAACCAGCTTCTTCAACTCTCAGATATTTTCCTAACTTTAGGGTTGTCAGCACCAAGTGAGAAGGTTTAAGGAGATGGTTTGAAATGGGGGAACTAAAGTCAGAAGTCCCTTGTCCCTTCTTAGCTGATTTCCCACTTCCCAGATGGAAAGATAGGGACGGATTCTGTGCTATTTGATTCTAGTGGCCCAATTGACTACTTTTTCATTCTGTTCTGTTCAGGTTGTTATACCGTGCCCCTCACCGTGGTATCTGAGCGTACTTGGGCCCAGATTTGTTTGAACCGGCCCTGAACATGGTAGATTCTTAATTTTTTTTTTCTGTTTCACAGTGAGCAAGAAAAAATACATCACAATCTTTTTTAAAAAAAAAAAAGAAAGAAAGAAAAGAAAAGTGTATTGACTTTTGTGTTAAATCCAAAGTCAGTTTTGCATGTCTGCTTCAGATAATTAAAGTCATCCATTCTATCCATTGGTGTAAAATGCTGCTTCCATTTGTGCCTCTGTAGGTTTGATTAAGCGAAAAGCAGAATAATGTTTAACCTTTCATTGAAGCATGGCTTAAAAGTACTTTTAATCATATTTTACATCAGACGCATTTAGAAGCATATAGCATGGTTTTAAGATGTTTTGAAGTGCTCTGTTTAAACTCTGCTGGTTGCAGACTTGAGAATTTCCAGTGTTGTTTTTTTTCTTCTTCACTTTATATTTAACAGTCTCTGATATGGATGAAGGACAGACCTGCAACAGAGGTGACTTTGCATCTGCCTGCCATAATGGTTGAAAAAGGGTGGCCTTGATGGGATTTTCAAAATGCTACTAATACACTTTATTTAGCCTCGTTGACCTGGGCTTTATTTTTATCCAGATTGTGCATGTTGCAGCATGTTACGAGATATATTTTGGTCCTGCAGAAAACCATGGGAATTGCTTTCCTTTTTATTTCAGGGTTTTGCTACTCCTTTTATTATTATTATTATTATTTTCCTTTTCTGCCTGTTACTTCGTTTGCCTATGTAATTTTTTTCCCTTTTCCCAAGAACTTGGAAATGAACACAACTGCAAGAGCATGTTGACTTTTCTAATGTCTGTATTTATACACTTTTCTACCTAAATCATCGATTGCCTGCATTTCCACGAGCAAATTTAGACTTTCAGCAACTTTGATTTCTTGCTTCTTTTACTTTAATTTTTTTTAAAAAAAAAAAATCTTTAGAGATGGCTGTGTTGTGTCGTGAAGTTGCTTCTATTCACTTGGCCCAAAGCATGCTTGGCTGATGTTTCACAGAAACCCCTCCCAAAAAAACCTTAAGATGCATGCCGATTATTTGCTTAAGCAGCTTCATCACATAAAGTCTCATGTGCACGTGGGTCTGGTTGCACTTCCCTTAAAGATCACGCCATGTTTTTCTAATGCAGTGTTTGTTTCCTTCTACAGCTTACCACTGGGACACTTCTGACTGGATGCCAAATGCACGTTTATCTGACATTGAGGAGGTGCCCCATTATGAGACGGCCGATGGCAGCTCAGCTCATCACGGGAGCACACGGGAGCTCGAAACAGATTACTACCTTGGTGGTTATGATATTGACAGTGACTACCCTCCACCGCATGAGGAGGAGTTTTTAAACCAAGACCAATTGCCCCCTCCCCTCCCAGAGGATTACCCAGACCATTATGAAGCCCTGCCACCATCCCAGCCAGTCTCCATGGCCAGCACGCTGAGCCCAGATTGCCAGAGACGGCCACAGTTTCACCCAAGTCAATACCTCCCTCCTCACCCCTTCCCCAATGAGATGGACCATGGTGGGTCTCAGACTGGGAACGAATTTAGTACTTTTGGTGTTGGCCCGGGACCAAATACAGGCAACAGTCTGGCCAAGAAACCTTTGTCTTTACACAATTCTCTGGACGCCTCCTCGTCCGATGTTTCGATGGGCTGTGGTTTTGATGACTCTGAGATTGCCATGAGCGACTACGAAAGCATTGAGGACTTTTCTCTGGACCACCATCAGATTCACATTCCTTTTGTGGAGATCCATCAGCAGACCCAAGTGTGAAGGAGCTCTTTTCGTGGACTCCGTTGCTGTCATTTGTTCATTCATAGCATAACTGAACTCTTCTCTTTTGCTTCATAAGTGTTCGACACGTCTGGTGCAGGGTTGAAATCCAACCCAACCCATTCTCAGCCTACCCAGAAGATCGATGTTGTGCATGCACATTACAGGGTGAAAACTGTAGCTTGTCTCAGAAAATCAGTACCCAAGGTCATCCATCAGTCTTTGGAGTGGGCATCTACTGCTTATTGCCAAAAGTAAATCCTATTTTAAATCCCAGACCAGTTAATCAGTAAAGGAAAGGATAGTTGGTAATTTTCCTCCCTAAAAAAACCCTTTCTAAATCAGTTCATTCAGAATTGCTGGTCTATTAGATGTAGTATTTCCACGTTGCCCCATATGTTCTCTTGACTACGTTAATGCACTCGTAAACACAGTATAAGCCAATCTTCCTCAGCTTGATACTTTTCCTAGAGCAGTGGTGGTGAACCTATGGCACACGTGCCAGAAGTGGCACGCAGAGCCCTCTCTGTGGGCACGCACACCGTCGTCCCAGCCCTGCCTCCCCCCCTCACCAGCAACCCCCCCCCAGGGGAGAGTCCCCCCTGGGCGTGGCCCGTGTGGAGCAGCGCAGACAAGGACATGGTAGCAGAGACAAGACTCCACCCTCGCATGCAGATGATGTTGCGGGACGCGGGTGGAGGGCATGGCCACCATGGCGCTGCAGGGCTGCCTGGTCGATCGGTGGGCCGTGGAGGCAGTAGATGGCCCTGCAGGCGGGCAGGGCAGTTTTTGGGCACTCAGTATCTAAAAGATTCACCATCACTGTCCTAAAGTATTAAGCTGCTGTTCCCATAATTGCTAATTGGCATGTTTCTTGGCCATTCAGTCTACGAATAACGGGAGATGTGATCCAAGGCACCAAGAGGGCATCCAATCAGGAGTGGTTCCAACTCATGCCTACAGTTCTAACTCTGAAAGATACCAAGAATTAAGAGTTGTTTGGCCATCGTGATGAACCAAATGGTAAGGATTGAGGTGTCTCCTCAGTCTAAAACTTATGCCACTGAGCCGTTAATCTTTGCTCTCATTTAAACAATGGGGTTTTTATGTGAAACTTAACACCAAGCTGACCTTGATTCAAGGCTGATGCTGCAGCCTTGAGTGGGTCAGGAGTAAAAAAAAAATGGAATGGCCCTGGTGGTGGGTGGGTTGTTTGTTTATTTATTTATTTGCTGGGTTCCCTGTCATCTTCTAAGCTTTCGTTCTTAGGATACATCTGCAATTTTTTTTCACTCGTCTTTAAATACCATTTAAATACCATTTATCCTATATTTGGTAACGGCTAGTGGAGTAAAATCCGCAGGGACTCAATTTATCTTTACCTTTAAATACTGTTTAAAGAGAGTGCTATTGTAGGTTATGACACCGTCGCCATCATGTATTTCACGGGTGGAAAAAAAAAAAGAAACCCCGACCAGATTATCCTTTTTGCACGATTGAATACTTTTGAATACACATTCCTCGTGTAACTGGAATTCAAGCTTCCATCTTGTGTGGATGCAAAACACAAAAGAAGATGACAGGAGAATTCAGCCGAGCAGCCACTGAAAGGAACAAATAAATTATTCCTGGTGGAAGGGAATTACGGTTTTTATGGATGTCCCTGCAGGTCTTTGGTGGGATTGTCTGCGAGGGGAAGTGGGTCAGAAAAAGTAAAGATGGTGACTGCAACCATGTAACTTAAGGCTCATTCATTTTTCATGTGTGTTACACATCTGACACACAAAGATGTAGCTTTGATCACATCCTAGCAGGTTGCCTTCTTGGCTTTTGCAAACCACACACCCCCTTTGCAAACATCCGTTTCTCCTAACCCAGGGGTCAGCAACCTTGGCTCTTTTATGACTCGTGGACTTCAACTATGCTGGCTCAGGAATTCTGGGAGTTGAAGTCCACGAGTCATAAAAGAGCCAAGGTTGCCTACCCCTGTCCTAACCCTATTTTGTTTTATGATCAGCACAATGTTGAATGAGTGCTTCCACCCAAACTGAGACAGATTTTCTAAAAATTCTTTACACCGAGTGACAAATTTTGTTTTTTACCCAGCTTGATAAATCAAATATTTCTGGTGTCCTCACACTAATCAGCACTTATTTCAGCCTCAGAGAACACCAGTTAATAAATCATATCAAGCCAAGTGGTTCGTTAAAGTGCCATGGAATAAGCAGCTTTATTTACAAAGGTTATCTATCTATTACCTTGGAAATTGAATGATCTGTTGATTACTACGACTCCCGTTTCAGGCTACAAGAGTATTGTAACTAAGGGTTATATCGTAAGAAATGGTCTAGTTCTAAAAACCTGTTTTAAAAAAAAAATTTTTTTTGAGCCGAGACAATACACTGCCTGTATGAATATTCTGAATAGTACAAATTTAATGTGTGCTTCCTTTTCAGTGATTTTATTCCCTTGGGCTTCACCCCCAAATATGGTAGGCATTCTTTTATAGTGCATTTATAAAATGATGGTTTTTGTTAGCCCTTCTTAGCTTTTTTATGAACCCGCTTTTGAAATATTTTGGGATAAAGGAAACATGGTACTTGAACCTTGTGTATGGTGAGAATGCTAACGTATGGAATTGAGTAAGAACCTTACTCAACAGAGAAACTAGCTGATGACGTGGGTTGACCTTTCCATGACTACGAATGAGTGTATGTGTGTGTGCATCTGTGCGCGCACACACACACACACACATAGACACACAGAAGAGTTGACATACTCAACATCTCCAACTGATCATGCTCACAGCATTGAGGTTGCTTTGAATGGATACCAAAGTTACACATTTGAATTCTGAACTATTGTTCAGTTGCACTTATTTGTCCCCACAAGTCACACACACACACACACACACACACACACACACAAAGTTATTATGAAGTAATTCTTCCTGACTTTTAAAAGGAATTTTCAAATAATGCTTCTTTTGGATATTAACTACTATACCTGAACTTAGCAAGATACCTTTTTCCCCTTACTTTCTAGTAGTCTTCCGTAAAAAATAATAATATGAAACCTTTTGGTAGTTCAGAGTAAGGGGCATTTTCCATTCTCCTGGGTAACTTGCATGTGTGTTCTAGAAACCCCTAAATGTTAGGCTTTTCTTGTCCTGCCAAATCCTATGCAGTCATCACTTTCTTCTTATTCCTTATCCCGCCTCTTTTAGCAGCTGGCTGCTCACTGCCCCATTGAATCAACGAAGTTGCCCCACTTATTCTAGAGCATAATCTTCATTGCTAATCTCAGAATTAATTGCCCATTTATACATTCCACTGTATTTACTTTCAGATTGTCTTGTAATCTGCTATTAAATTTTAGCTTCACATGGGTAAAAGCATCCTAGACAAGTTAGCTAAATGCATTGGCCAAACTCCAGATGTTTGTAAGCTTCCACAGTTCAGCACAATTGGTAGACACGCACACTTTCTATGCCAGGGTGGATTCCCCCCCCCTTACTTTCTTTTACCATGAATCGCCCTGATTTTTCCGTCTTTATCCAAATAGCAACTCATCTGTCAATTGGTGTTGATGACATAGGGTAAAAGATTAGTAGTAAGTAAGCCGTACGTGATTAAATGGGATTGAAGGCAATGGAGCTTCAGACAGTCTTGACTCAGCCAGTCTACCCCATAGATAATTACAACACATTCAAGTGATTCAAAGTGGGGAAATTTGTATTTCTGATTGCTCCTATATACAAACCCGTTCAGCATATCATAAAGTGGGACGGTTTGAAAAGAGCTGTATGGCCAATTTTTTCCCAATAGGATGCTTTTTCGTGAGTAAATATTTGATTTAAGGTGGAAGAGGTTTCCGAAAATACCTCCTTCCCACCAGCAATCAGAAATGGGACATTTCAGAACTATCTGAATAATATGTAGCCGTTGGTGAGTTAAGCAGATAAGGGGGAATCAGGAAATTCAAGATGGCCACTTCAGTCTCGTAGATGCATCCACCATCTTGAATTTTCTTGACGCCCCTATTGTCTACCGGCCCCCTTGTAGCCATAGACAGCTGCATTGCTTTGGTACGACTCAGGTTTTGTTCTATGCAAAAGGGCTTTATTCCTCCTATTACCCAAGATGGCAGTCTGAACTTCACAGAAATAAGTGTTTTCCTAAAAATAATAATAATTCCAAATTATAAAGCTACATCTCAAGCCAAAAGGTCCACACTCAGCATTTTCTCTTTGTTTCCCCTATTTACAAGATGGTAAGAATGTCTATATGCTATCATGTGAGCCATATCACACTTGAAGTAGTACTGCTCAGAGGCAGTATTTATTAGTTATGTAAATACTTGGTGCCCAGGTAGGGCCAGTCATCCCAACTGCACACAAAACGAAGAAAACTGAGACTTCCACATGCCAATGTTGATAGCAAAACGATTTAATATTAATTTACTGCTTTTATTAGAGGGTCTTTCACAAACTAAAGGTAAATAATTTCAATATTGTCACAGAGAAACAGAAATCTTTCCAAAATTTTGATGGGCCATTTTAGCTGAACTGCATCTTCCAAATTCATTCCATATAATTGGGAGTGGAGAAAGATTTGTTCATGATTATGCAAAAAAATGGATTTTGGCCGTCTTCTTTCTTTGCTTATTACATCCCTCCAGTAGTAAAATCCATAGTAAGTTTTTCCATGAAAGATCATTATTTCAAGGCTATGCATCATATAGAAGAGCACTGAACTTTTTTTTTCATTTAGAGAGAAAAGGAGAGGCAGTGGGATGTAACTTCGTTTCATCTTTTTTTTTTTAAAGAGCAATAATTTACAAATGTATTACAGGCCATAACCAAACTTCACTACTGGCAGTGTTAAGAGAATAAATGAACTGGATTGTGGGAATTCAAGGCCTCACTTAACATAGCTTAAGCATATGTTTGAATTCTTACCAGAACAATTTTTCAAACCCAGGATAACTGCTTTTTCAGGAAGTTTATTTGGGAAAAAAAAATCTTAAGTTCTCCTTGAAGCACTGTATAAGAAAGATAATTGTGTGTAAATTTTACCTGTTGCAAGCAGGCTGGTTTGTAAAAGATGTATGTTTTTGGTGTTAAAAAGTTTATAAAATAATGTATATAATAATTTTGAAATTACTGGGCTTTTGTAGATATTCAATGCCAATCAGGTGGCTTTTCATTTTTGTTACCTGTGTTCATTTGTGTAAAGTCATCCGTTACAGGTTAATCATATAAAGCACTTCTTACAAAACAAATCAAAAATTCTTCTTAGTTGCTAAAGGAGACTTCAGTTTTCATTTGGATCAATTGTTTTCCGTTCACTTCTGTTTCTATGAAACTGCTTCCTGGTTGTTTTTTTATGGGTTTTTTTGTTTTGTTTGTTTGTCTGTGCAAATGCAATCATGTTTTCTAATGACATTTCTGTTGGCATTAAAAAGGTTTCTCCATTATTTCACCCTGTAACAAACGTATGCAAAAGGGAAGATGATCTCCGGAAATGGATCTTGTCCCTTGTTGCCTAACTCATCAGTTGTTCATTTTCCTGTTGGCAGTATTGTCTTGTTATTTTGCTATTAAAAAAGAAACAAAAAAGAAACAAAAAAGTGTACAGGTTTGTAACTGCCCAACTTTGCTAAGTTGATCGTTAAAAAATCAGTTTTCAATTAAAAACACATGGTTTTTGCTCACCCTTCTTCCTTTCTTCCTTTCTTTGAGATACATTTCCACTTTATAGTACAATTGTCAACATCCATCCATCCATCCATCCATCCATAGAAGGCCATTATTTTGCAGTGAATGGATGGATGGATGGATGGATGGAAACCAAGGAGAGAAGCAACCTAGAACAAGAAGAAATTTCCTGACAATTACAACAAATTAACTAGTGGAACAACCTGCCTCCAGAAGGTTCCATGAAGATAAGTTTTTCCACAGACTGGAGAGTACATGGTTTTGAGTGCTGCCTGCATGTTTGTGCTTTGCTTGTTTGGGCAGACCAGTTGCTGGCATGCTGTAGACTCGGGGTTGGGGAACCCTGGACTAGAAGACCTCCAAGGTCCCTTCCAGCTCCTATTCTATTCTATTCCTATTCTATTCTATTCTATTCTATTCTATTCTATTCTATTCTATTCTATTCTATTCCTTATTCTGTTCCTTATTCTATTCTATTCTTCATTTCTGTGGCTGTGTATGCAGTCAATACACTACCATCAACTGAAAGCATTTCATTAATAATAAAATAGCACTATCGGTGTGCATAGTTGTATTTTTAGGATGCTATTTTGTTATTTTGGATGTGGTTTTTTGTTTTTGTTTTTTTGTTATTCATGCTCACCAGGCCAAAGCAAATAGATAAAAATGAGAATCTTTTGCAAACAATGGTACACAGGGCTGAATAGACCACTGAGATGTGGTTGAATGAAAGCACCTTGCCAACAAAAAATAAATAAAAATAGAAAAACATTGCTAATTTGGAAATTCACATTGTACCCTAATTCAAAAAAATGCTTTTATAAAAATGCATCTGGTCTAAAATCAAAGGTGCACATATTTTCTCATTAACAATTTTGTAAAAGAGCCGAATCTGTCTGTCTTCTTTAAGTATGCAGCCTCTATTGAACAATATAAAAGAATATTTCTCAGGCTTCAGCGAAGAATCAAGCACTATCATGCCTTGCTATAGAATGTAAGATAAAAGAAACCCCAACAGACTTCAAATGTTGCTGATTCCTCACCACTGAACATGACAAAAACAGCATCATGTCATCTCAACATCAGCCCCTGCCCCTTTTGTAAGAGTGGGCAATATCACAACTCGCATACAAAACAAAAGAGTCTGAGCTTGCATTTGATGGGTACATTGTCATTGCCTTCCACTGCACCAAGTCACAAATCACTACCTCTAAAGTATTCAAAATTTGTGGACATATTTTTTTAAGACAAATCTACCACCCAAGCGTGCCCAAGTCACTTTGCTGCCCAAAGAGGAAAACAAAATGGTGGCCTTCCATTTTCCACACCAAGTGTACTTTCCAAGTACTCAGCCAGGTATAGCTATGTGGGCCCATCATATATGCATTCCTTCACATTGTCATGTTTCAACTGCATGGATATGTCCATGTTAATTTCTTGGTGACAATATGGAATGGCTTGACAACATCAACTGAGATGGCTTCTCAATTTCTATGTTTTGGCTGCTTTCAAAAAAGTTCAGCGAGGTTTGATCTAAATAATACTCGGATGAGAAGGAAATGGGAAATCCTAAAACTACACAACTTACCAAGAATCCCTGTCAAACAACTATGTTGCAAAAAAAAAAAATACAGGTGGTCCTCAACTTATGACCACAACTGAACCCAAAATTTCTGTTGCTAAGTGAGACATTTGTTATTTGGCCCATTTTACAACCTTTCTTGCCACAGTTGTTAAGCGAATCACTGCAGTTGTTAAATTAGTAACATGGTTGTTAAGTGAATCTAGCTTCCCCATTGACTTTGCTTGTTGGAAGGTTGCAAAATGTGATCATATGACCCCGGGATGCTGCAAGCATCATAAATATAAGTCAGTTGCCACGTGTCTGAACTTTGATCATGTGATTATGGTGATGCCGCAACGGTCATAAGTGTGAAAAACAATCATAAATTACTTTTTCCAGTGCTGTTGTAATACCAGGAGATAGTGAGGACAGGGGAGGCTGCTGTGCTGTGCTCCATGAGGTCATGAAGACTTGCACACAACTTAGCAACTGAACAACAAAAAAAATGAGATGACATCATTTCATGCTTGATATCATCTGACATCTTTGTGGTTTGCTGTAGATGACAGTGGTGTTGTCCCATCCATCCAAGAACAACTAGCAACGTCTACTTTGTGTTTTCAAGAATGTCCATGACAACTTCATACCGCCATCTAATAAATGTGCACTAGCCAACTTAGTAGAAATGCCTTGTCATCTAAATGTAAACAATAAGCCCTTTTCCACTTCAGCTAGCTGGAGAAATGGGGGAGTTTTCACTACTTACTGAAACTACTTTCAAACTTGGTTAGCTGCCATATCCTACTAACGAACACGGGGGGGGGGGGGGGAAAGTTTCACATTAAGACCAACAAGAATGTAGAAGGGAATTAAAATTGCGCCACAGGATGGCAATGTCAGATTAGAAATATGTCAGAGGTACTGAAAGATTGAACTACTGTTCTAGAATACCAAGCATAAGAAAATTAAATGAGTCAAAGGCACAATACGTAAAACTGATGGGAATAAGATTTGATTTTTTTCGCTGGTGATGAAGGCGCATGTTTCTGGGTCCAAGGTTCAATCATGTCGAAGCTGTTAGAAATAATTGAGACAAAAAGATCTGCGATCCATGGAGGCAGTGGGTGGCCCTGTGGGTGGGTGGGGCGGGGGCAGGGCAGGACGGCTGGAGGTTGGAGCAGGGGCAGAGCGGGCATGGCAGGGGGCAGAGCGGGGGCAGGGGTGGGACGGGACAGTTTTTGCCCACTCAATCTCTAAAAGGTTCACCATCACTATTTTTGAAGCGGATGAAAACACTGGTTAGATAGATAGATAGATAGATAGATAGATAGATAGATAGATAGATAGATAGATAGATAGATAGATAGATAGATAGATAGATAGATAGATAGATAGATGATAGATGTGTGTGTGTGAGAGAGAGAGAGAATGATGATAGAGTGACAAACAGACATGTATGTGTGTGTGTATATTTGTTATCTCTGGCTCTTTAAAGATATGGCAGTGCCCATACATTGATAGTCACAAACCTGCATACCTACTAAATTCTTGAACTGGCAATAGCAGCACAATGTCATAGGGCTTACAATTAAACCACATGTTTATATATCCACTTTAAATAATCTTTCACTTTACAAAGGTATTTCAACAGCAGAACATGTTGTAAAAGATTTGCATTCACTCAGACTTTACTCCTAAGTGTTGCAATGTAACAGGACCACAGAATACTTCAGTTCCCCTCGTGGTCCCTTGAAGACGTGGATATGTGCCTGGGCCTGGTGCCCTGAGTATTTTGTAATGGGGCCCTCTTCAAGAAACAAAATATTGATATTTATGGTTATAATTTTTCTCAGATGTTTTATTGATTTGTACTTGATGTTAATGGATGTTTTTGATTGTTTGTCACCCAGAATCATTTATCTGAGATGGATGGCTGAATGAATGAGTGAATGAATATATGAATGAATATCCTTTGTCTTCTAATAAGGATATCCCAGTCCTTCACTTCCTATCCAGACAATGTCTCTCTTCACTCATACATCATTGTTGCTTAAAGTAACAGGTGAACAATCTTTTTAGAGCTGGAAACTGTAATTTTCTTTTGAATGTATTCCCTGGCTCACAAAATAACCCAATTCCCAGCTAGCAGCCATTTAGCAAAGGGAAAGAATTCAGCTTGTTAAGCTTGTTGGCAACTTAATGCACTTCTTTGCCACTTTTCTGTAGACAAAACAAATCACACAAAGAAAATTGTACTGCTATTATTCCACGTGATGCTGCAATAAAATTTCAGTGCAATCTTGCCAAGCTCTGAGAGTCACTGAGATGGGTTTTGAAGGTGGCTTGTTCTCCCAGATCAGAGTTCCTGAAATCTTGCCTTAATATAGTAACATCTTGCACCAGGAAAATGGACTAGATACAGCAGGGGTAGGCAACCTTGGCTCTTTTATGACTCGTGGACTTCAACTCCCAGAATTCCTGAGCCAGCATGGCTCAGCTTGGAAACCTCTCCCTTTCCCCTCAGCATGGCTGGCTCAGGAATTCTGGGAGTTGAAGTCCATGAGTCATAAAAGAGCCAAGGTTGCCTACCCCTGAGATAGAGCGATCATGACATTGTAAACCTAAAGCAGTGATAGCTGAAAAGCAGGCTTTCAAAATTACAGCTTCAAAAAGATGCTTTGTCATTTCTTGGATAAATGTGTGTCTAATGGATAGAAGAATCACTGTCAAAAATTCACTGTTCTGGATTTTTAGTTTTAAACCCTTATATTCAAAAGAACTCTATTTGGAACTCTCTTTTTCAAAAACCTATTTTCATTTTAAACAGAGAAAGAAAAATAAAAGAAGAAAAAGAGGAATAGAAGAAATATTGCTTGAAGTTTAAATAACAATAGCAATTTAGAATGATATACCGCTTCACAGTGCTTTACAGCCATTTCTAAGCAGTTAACTGAATCAGCATTTTTGTCCTCAACTATCTGGGTCCTCATTTTACCAGCCTTGGAATGATGGAAGGCTGAGTCAACCTTGAGCCAGTGAGAATTGAACTGCTGGCAGTTGGCAGTCAGCAGCCTGCAGTACTGCATTCTCACCACAGCTCTTAGATTAACAAAGTTTGAGTTATTCTCCCGATGTGTGCAACCAAAATGTTTAGCTCAACCTTCCACAATTTATAGCAACCTAGTCCAAATGGTGGACTTCAACATATCTTGCTAGGAATTATTCAAGTTGCAGAACAGTTGCAAGAATTGGGTATGTCTAGTCTAATGAAGAGAAGGACTAGGTGTGACATGATAGCAGTGTTCCACTATCTCAGGGGCTGCCACAAAGAAGAGGGAGTCAAGCTAT